TGAAACCCAAATGAAAAGTTTGAGTCTGCAAATGTGCTTTTATCCTTAGTTTGAGTGTGGGACATTTTCTCTTCTGAATGTTCTCTAAGAAAATCCTATAAATCATTTAACTGAAGTAGGGTCCTTGATCGAAAATGAGTCATGAATTTCATCTCCAGAGCCACTATCAGTCATTTTAATATTATCTGAAATTGGAGAGAACGCCATATATCCTGTATCATGGTCATTTTTCAATCGGTTATCTTCCTCTTTTCCTTTGTTTTTTCTCCTCCATGTGGGTCTAGTCTGGAAATGCAATTGCCTGATGACCAGAATTGAAGAGAAACGGATGCCATTGCCTGACCAGCAGAATTGAAAAGAAATCTCAGTGGGATGTTTAGATTTATTTTCGTTAAAAGGTAAACATCAACCTTTTCAATAAAGTTTGAATCTGTAAGTAAGCGTAAATATTCGGATAATCTTCAACAAACCAAAAAAATCTTTTTACATTTTGTTTTTTCTTTGTTACCTTTGTGATTTGACTTCGTTTGATGATCTCGGTTGGGGTTAATTTGAAAAGATTGGTTTATTATTGCCATTGACAACTTGGTTTCTCTCTTTAAACAATTATTTGGAACTAACAATAAGTTTACATACGTCTTTGGTAAAGGCATAAAGCACATAAGCATTAAAGAAATTCATCATACATACATAAAAAGGATATGAAAAATATCTTTCATTTTTTATGTTATTCAGATTCGAATGTTAGATATGTTATATGTACAATACAATAATGTATTTTTTTCAATTAATTCTTTTTTATATTTGGATTGTCTAACCTCCATATCTACATTCATTGTATATATATCAAACACAATTACTTTAAAAGAAACGAAGAATCCAACAATTAACATAGTTCATTGACGCCTAGACCTTAACCTTCATATTGAGCCCCTAGTGCTTTTTAGTTTATCCTCTTCTATTCTTCTATGGTGCTTTTTAACTCCTCTTTTGATTGTCTCTGCCTTGGGCCCCAAAGGCTTTCAAAATTTTTGGCGGGGTCTTGGCCCCCACACGCTTCCACAACGGTCCGCCATGTAGTTTCAATGAGGGACTTATCCAGAAGCAAGGAAAGAAAGAAACAGAACTAATGGCAGACGTCATATTTTACATTTTTTATTATAATTTTTTATTTAAATTTAAGTTTATATATATTGAGAAGCTGGCCATTGACGCTTGTGGGGTTATAAAAGAACAAAATGTTCAAGATTTTTAATTTTCCTCTTGCCTTAAATTCTGAACTTTTGTATTTTATTTTATTTTTTACTTAAAGAAAATATAAAATATTTTTACTATGTTTACTCTGCGTGCAGTGGCTGATTTTTTTTTTCTTTTGTTTTCTCTCTTTTCATGGTTTTGTTATGTATAAAAAGTAAAACTAGTATGGTACAAAAGGCTATGAACAAAAATTAATGATAATAATTTGTAGCAACATCGTTTTGGCTGGTTGTTGTGCAAACAAGTCATCCATCCAAGTCTTAATTTCTGTGCAACGCGCTCTTTACTTTGATGTGAATGATCATCGCTGGAACAGTTACCCTCCAACACTTATTGTCATATTGTACTAATTGAAAGCAACTTTTCTTGCTGATAAGGGCTGAAGTCATTGTTTTACCCAATCGACACTCTGATGTCTGAAGGTTTGAGTTTTGGATTTTTCTACTACACCCAAACGAATCCCACAACTTTTAAGTGGAGCCCACGTTCGCCGCCCTTAGCATGGATTTTTTTGAGTGGATAAGTTTAAAAGTTGAGGCTTTATCTTGCTTCACCGTACTGGTCTTGACTTTGAACGAACTTTGGTTTAAAACTCACTGGTTAGCACATTTTCTGGACATTCATTTATTGAAAGCGACTTTACTTACCTCCCATGGTTCGTCCCTTCAAGCCGTAAGGCAAAGAAGGATTGTAAGGGCATCTATGTATTGCTTTTTAATTTGTGGACTTGACAGAAAACTTTAGGCAAAATCAAGTCTTCTTGGGCTAAGCTACGTACCAAAACCAGCCCCACAACGTGTACGCGAAGGGACATTGAGTTTGATCCTTTGAACTTTAAATCCTTTGAACTTTAAAGTTCGCCGATGGAAAGGCAGGTGGAGCACATCACAGCTATTTCTAAGAAAAATCTGGTCATTGGTCTTTGGACTTATTGGTTATTAGTTGTACGTATGCTTCGGTTTTGATAGTTGCGTTTAGCTTTGCGTAAACGTAGTCCTTCGTAAACGACGGAGAAGGGACAAGGTAGTCATAAGGATTTTTCTTTAATGAAATACCTTCAATTTGATGGTACTCTCTTACATTAATGGAAAGACTAGCCGGATGGGTTTTGGCCTTGTGCATGCAATTAAATTAACATACAAAGACTTTGTCTTTGAAGCAACTTAAGTAATACTAGATTTAATTTGTAGGTTTCAATGTGAGATATTTTATAAATCGGTTGTGGTTTTGTAAAGTATTTTTTTTGTGAAATAAAATTATAAAATTTTTGAGTCAATCATATCTATTAATTTAAGTGCGATGAATTTGTACAATTGATATTAATTGACGGAAAAAATATAATATTTTAAAAAAAATGATACTTTGGTTTTCTTCTAATAACTTTTAAAAATTTTATTTTTTACCAATTAATATATTTAAATTATTCTAGTATTTTTTTTCATTTTGTTAAAAATAATTTTTAGCTTTTATTTTTGATAGGATTTAATTTTATATTTAGTAAAATTTATAAATATTGGAAAAATAAATTTTAATAAAATAGAAAAAAAAATAAAATCAGATAATTGACTCAAAATTATTCTTTTTATTATCATCCTTAAATATATTTACTAAAAAAAATTTTTTTTATAATATGACGAAGGAAACTAAAGTACCATTTTACCTTTAATTCTAAATTGAATTTTTAAAATTAAGGAAAAAAAATTATGTTTTCGTCTCCTTTTAAAAAATTTTATAAATTTTATTTTCTTTTTAATAAGTATGTTTTGGTATGATTGTGAAGCTTAATAATTTTGAATTCATTATCTTGATTTGTAATTTTCTCATATTTTTATGCAAAGGGACCATGTCGGACATCTTTTTAAAAAAATTTAGGACTATCGTGAAACAATTTGAAAATTAAAAATAAAAAAGAAACCCAAATGAAAAGTTTGAGTGCTTTTATCCTTAGTTTGAGTGTGGGACATTTTCTCTTCTGAATGTTCTCTAAGAAAATCCTATAAATCATTTAACTGAAGTAGGGTCCTTGATCGAAAATGAGCCATGAATTTCATCTCCAGAGCCACTATCAGTCATTTTAATATTATCTGAAATTGGAGAGAACGCCATATATCCTGTATCATGGTCATTTTTCAATCGGTTATCTTAATTGGCACGGATTGATTTTGCTGCAAATGGCTAGATCTTTTTATTTTACCTCTGAAATAAATTTGCTGCCTAAAATTTTCTGAATTATTTGGATAAACTGAATTGACTTTGTTTTGCATGCCATTTAGAATCCGGTCTGATGATAGTAGTGGACATCTGTCTGATCCGAATGAGGCAGGATTGTTTATGAATCGAAAATCCCAAGATGCTGCAGTTGGTGCTCTTTTACGTATGCTGAAGAAAGCCCCTCCTCTTCGCCAAGATATCTGCAGTTTAATTAATTTTTCGGAAGCCTCCAGTCCAGAAATGTCGAACAGCAGCATTTATGAGCAAAACCAAATTTCTGGGGTTGTGAATGTTGAGCATGCTGCTTCTTCAAGTATTGCATCTTCCAGGTTTGTTGCATCAAAGACAACTGCTGATGCATTAGAGGAGCTTCGGGGTTATAAAGAGATGAAAAGCTTATTGCTTAGTGAAGGTGGTAAGTCTTACACATCTGCCAATAATGCCTCAGGAGCTGAACATTCCAGTAAAGGTGCGTGAGAATTTTTAACTTCTGCAATATTGGTATATCGCACATATATGTACAGCGCTATGGTTTGAGAGATTACTACATGCTATACAACTGAAGCCATTTTTGCTCTTAGGTATTCACGTACGTTTAATAAAAGAATGTACAAATGTTGTTTAAAATTATTTATTAAATTTAATAAATAAATATAAATGAACAGAAATTAAACATGTTTATTAACGGTTTGAAATTATTTATTATACTTAATAAATGAACATAAATGAACAAAAACTAAACATGTTTACCGAAAGCTCTGATCACACGCTTTCACAACGGTCCGCCATTGAATGCATTTGTTATATTGTGCAACCATGTTGTTTCAACAAGAGACTTATCCAGAAAGAAAGAAAAAAAGAAAAAGAAACAGAACTGATGACAGACGTCAAAATTTACATTTTCTTTTTATTTCAATTTTTTATTTAAATTTAAGTTTATATGCATTTAGAACTAGCCATTGACGCTTGTGGTGTTATAGAAGAACAAATAGTTCAAGATTTTTAATTTTCCTCTTGCCTTAAATTGTGTACTGTTGTATTTCAATTTTTTGTTCTACTTAAAGAAAATATAAAATATTTTTTCTATGTTTGCTCTGCGTGCAGTAGCTGATTTTTTTTTTCTTTTGTTTTCTCTCTTTTCATGGTTTTGTTATGTATAAAATGTAAAAATTAGTATCGTACATGAGGCTGTAAACAAAAATTAATGATAATAATTTGTAACTAACATCGTTTTGGTTGGTTCTTGTGCAAACAAGTCATCCTTCCGAGTCTTAATTTCTATTCAGCGTGCTCTTTACTTTGATTTGAATGATCATCGCTGGAACAGTTGCTCTCCAACACTTATTGTCATATTGTACTAATTGAAAGCAACTTTTCTGGCTGATAAGGGCTGAAGTCATTGTTTTACCCAATCGACACTCTGATGTCATGTCTGAAGATTTGAGTTTTGGATTTTTCTAGTACACCCAAACCAATCCCACAACGTTGAAGTGGAGCGCACGCTGTCAGCCCTTAGCATGTGTTTTTTTTTTTTTGAGTGGATACGTTTAAACGTTGAAGCTTTTTCTTGCTTCACTGTACTGGTATTGACTTTAAGCAAAACTCACTGGTTAGCACATTTTCTGCACATTCATTTATTGAACGCGACTTTACTTACCTCCCATGGTTCGTCCCTTCAAGCTGTAAGGCAAAGAAGGATTGTAGGGCATCTAGATATTGCTTTTTAATTTGTGGACTCGACAGAAAACTTTAGGCAAAATCTAAGTCTTCTTGAGCTAAGTTACGTACCAAAACCAGCCCCACAACGTGTACGCGAAGGGACATTAAATTTGATGCTTTGAATTTTAAAGTTCGCCGATGGGAAGGCAGGTGGAGCACGTCACAGCTATTTCTAAGAAATTTTACCTCTGAAATAAATTTGCTGCTTAAAATTTTCTGAATTATTTGGATAAACTGAATTGACTTTGTTTTGCATGCCATTTAGAATCCGGTCTGATGATAGTAGTGGACATCTGTCTGATCCGAATGAGGCAGGATTGTTTATGAATCGAAAATCCCAATATGCTGCAGTTTGTGCTCTTTTACGTATGCTGAAGAAAGCCCCTCCTCGTCGCCAAGATATCTGCAGTTTAATTAATTTTTCGGAAGCCTCCAGTCCAGAAATGTCGAACAGCAGCATTTATGAGCAAAACCAAATTTCTGGGGTTGTGAATGTTGAGCATGCTGCTTCTTCAAGTATTGCATCTTCCAGGTTTGTTGCATCAAAGACAACTGCTGATGCATTAGAGGAGCTTCCGGGTTATAAAGAGATGAAAAGCTTATTGCTTAGTGAAGGTGGTAAGTCTTACACATCTGCCAATAATGCCTCAGGAGCTGAACATTCCAGTAAAGGTACATGAGAATTTTTAACTTCTGCAGTATTGTTATATGGCACATTATGTACAGCGCTATGGTTTGAGAGATTACTACATGCTATACTATACAAGTGAAGCCATTTTTGCTCGTACGTATTCACATACGATTAATAAACGAATGTACAAATGTTGTTTAAAATTATTTATTAAACTTAATAAATAAACATAAATGAATAGAAATTAAACATGTTTACTAACGGTTTAAAATTATTTATTAAACTTAATAAATGAACATAAATGAGCAAAAATTAAACATGTTTATCGAAAGCTCTGTTCACTTACAACACTAATGGAGGCTCATGCGAATTTACAGGCTACATATGTCCATGGTAGTGCAACATATCTCTATCTTTCGCTCACCATCTCTCTGTTGCTGTCGTCTCTATTATTTTCCTCTTTTCCCTTGTTTTTCCTCCTCCATGTGGGTCTAGTCTGGAAATGCAATTGCCTTATGATTAGAATTGAAGAGAAACAGATGCGATTGCCTGACTAGCAGAATTGAAAAGAAATCTCAGTGGGATGTTTTATTTGTTTTCGTTAAAAGGTAAACATCAACCTTTTCAATAAAGTTTGAATCTGTAAGTAAGCGTAAATATTCGGATAATCTTCAACAAACCAAAAAAATCTTTTTACATTTTGTTTTTTCTTTGTTACCTTTGTGATTTAACTTCGTTTGATGATCTCGGCTGGGGTTAATTTGGAAAGATTGGTTTATTATTGCCATTGACAACTTGGTTTCTTTCTTTAAACAATTATTTGGAACTAACAATAAGTTTACATACGTCTTTGGTAAAGGCATAAAGCACATAAGCATTAAAAAAATTCATCATATATACATAAAAAAGATACGAAAAATATCTTTCATTTGTTATGTTATTCAGATTCGAATGTTAGATATGTTATATGTACAATACAATAATATATTTTTTTCGATTAATTCTTTTTTATATTTGGATTGTCTAATCTCCATATCTACATTCATTGTATATATATCAAACACAAGTACTTTAAAAGAAACGAAGAATCCAACAGTTAACATAGTTCATTGACGCCTAGACCTTAACCTTCATATTGAGCCCCTAGTGCTTTTTAGTTTATCCTCTTCTATTCTTCTATGGTGCTTTTTAACTCCTCTTTTGATTGTCTCTGCCTTGGGCCCCAAAGGCTTTCAAAATTTTTGGCGGGGCCTTGGCCCCCACACGCTTCCACAACGGTCCGCCATGTAGTTTCAATAAGGGACTTTTCCAGAGGCAAGGAAAGAAAGAAACAGAACTAATGGCAGACGTCATATTTTACATTTTTTTATTATAATTTTTTATTTAAATTTAAGTTTATATATATGGAGAAGCTAGCCATTGACGCTTGTGGGGTTATAAAAGAACAAAATGTTCAAGATTTTTAATTTTCCTCTTGCCTTAAATTCTGAACTTTTGTATTTTATTTTTTTTTCTACTTAAAGAAAATATAAAATATTTTTACTATGTTTACTCTGCGTGCAGTGGCTGATTTTTTTTTTTCTTTTGTTTTCTCTCTTTTCATGGTTTTGTTATGTATAAAAAGTAAAACTAGTATGGTACAAAAGGCTATAAACAAAAATTAATGATAATAATTTGTAGCAACATCGTTTTGGCTGGTTGTTGTGCAAACAAGTCATCCATCCAAGTCTTAATTTCTGTGCAACGCGCTCTTTACTTTGATGTGAATGATCATCGCTGGAACAGTTACTCTCCAACACTTATTGTCATATTGTACTAATTGAAAGCAACTTTTCTTGCTGATAAGGGCTGCAGTCATTGTTTTACCCAATCGACACTCTGATGTCTGAAGGTTTGAGTTTTGGATTTTTCTACTGCACCCAAACGAATCCCACAACTTTTAAGTGGAGCCCACGTTCGCAGCCCTTAGCATGGATTTTTTTGAGTGGATAAGTTTAAACGTTGAAGCTTTATCTTGCTTCACCGTACTGGTCTTGACTGTGAACGAACTTTGGTTTAAAACTCACTGGTTAGCACATTTTCTGAACATTCGTTAATTGAAAGCGACTTTGCTTACCTCCCATGGTTCGTCCCTTAAGCTGTAAGGCAAAGAAGGATCGACGGGCATCTATATATTGCTTTTTAATTTGTGGACTTGATAGAAACTTTAGGCAAAATCAAGTGTTCTTGAGCTAAGCTACGTGCCAAAACCAGCCCCACAACGTGTACGTCAACAGACATTAAATTTGATCCTTTGAACTTTAAAGTTCGCCGATGGGAAGGCAGGTGGAGCACATCACAGCTATTTCTAAGAAAAATCTGGTCATTGGTCTTTGGACTTATTGGTTATTAGTTGAACGTATGCTTCGGTTTTGATAGTTGCGTTTAGCTTTGCATAAACGTAGTCCTTCGTAAACGACGGGAAAGGGACTGGGTAGTCATAAGGATTTTTCTTTAATGAAGCACCTTCAATTTGATGGTACTCTCTTAATTGAAACATTAGCCGGATGGGTTTTGGCTTTGTGCATGCAATTAAATTAACATATAAAGACTTTGTCTTTGAAGCAACTTAAGTAATACTAAATTTAATTTGTAGGGTTTCAATGTGAGACATTTTATAAATTGGTTGTGGTATATAAGAAAAAATTTAAATTTATATTTATAAAATATTTTTTGAAATAAAATTATAAAATTTTTGAGTCAATAATATTTATTAATTTAAGTGCGATGTACAATTAATATCAAGCAATTATAAACCGATAAAAAAATGTTATACAATAAAAATTACTTCTAAATCGTTGTAAATGAGACCCAATATTATACTATGTGAGTATCACTTTTAAAATTTTTATTTTTAGTATGACTTTAATTTTATGTTTAGTATAATCCTAATTTTTTATATACTATATTAAACTTGAAAAAAACATTAAACTTTAATAAGCAAATTTATAACACTCAATCTTATTCTAAAATATTTTAAAATTTTATTATGATATATATATAAATCTAAATTTTAAAATTTTTTAATCAAAATAAATAATATTTCGCATACATGTATAACGTAATAACTGTAAGAAACGAGATATCATTTTCCAATTGAAGGCTCTAAGTAATCTTGCTTTTTCCCGTTTGGACGTTAACTTTTTGAGGTTTAGGGTACTGATTAATATTTTTTAGAGAGAGAAAAAAAAGAAATAGTACTCCCTTTGTCTTAATTTATTTATACCTCAATTTGGTTCTTTTAACCGAAATTGATCGAACTTTTTACCTTCAATTATTAAATTATTAGATTGATTAATTAAAAATTTAAAAAGGTTTTAAATTCTTTTCTCAAGTACATAAGGATTTTGAATTGCATTAATATGAGAAAGTTTTCTCCAATATCTATATTTTATCTTATTTATCATAAAATTCAACAACAAGAGATCAATTAAACTTCAAGTTTCAACAGTTGCTTGAATTTTATACTCGTGATTTTTTTATAGTCATTTTGCAAAATAGAGATATACAAAATTATGTTTATTTGACCAAACAAGTTAAACAAGGAGAACCAAATGAGAGTAGGAGAAAAATGTGGGTAGAAAATACAGTTTTTAACCTTTAATTTGCATCATTTTATAAAACTTTGACGTGCATTATCACTCTCTTTTAGCAGTTGAAAGTGTATTCAACCGGACTTTGCTGCTCAATTACTTTTTATTGGATTCTTATCTTAAATTTTTAAAGGACTTGGAAGTTAAAATATTGAAAATCGAGTGAATGGTGCAAATTCTAAGGGCAGATTGGTTTTCTAGAAAATTAGATTTAGGGTCTATTTGGATATTGATAAGATTAATTTTGGTGAAATTAAAAATAATAATAAATAAAATATTAATTAATGTAACAATAAAATTAAAATCAATGTTGAAACATAACCTAACCTATGCCAGGCTGTAGTGGACCATCCCTAGATGGGTCCAATTGAACTCTGATTGAATTGGTCAAACTACAACTGAATCAGTCCAATATGTATCAGCGCCTAAATAGTTTGAGGAACTGCGAAATTGGACTGACCATTATTAAACTATTGACTAGTTTTGACCAATTTTTTGGGTAATATTTTTATTTTTTTTTTACTTTGTTAAGTTATTTATTTGTTTATCTATACACTTTTAAGTTTTTAAAAGTAAATATATAATTTAAAAAATGTTGAAAAATCTTTGAAACAAATCCTTCGACAATGAAATATTAAGGAAATGCAAGTATTTCTTAAAAATCTTTAAGTAAAGATATTTTTCTAAAATGCTACTAAAGTATTGAAATATTTAAAAAGCTATTCAATACAAAAAAATTTTGTTTACTTATTTTTTATATTGTTAAAATTGAAAACAAAAATAATGAATGAGTTTTTTAAGTAATAAAATTACATATAATAATGCATGAATATTATTGGCATTAATTAATTAAAAAATATGAGCCTCCAAAGATGGTTTTTTAAAAAAATTTGAGTTGTGATTCCTGAGAAATTCATAAGTGAAAAAAATTTCTCTTAATGTTATTAGTATATTAGAATGTTTCAAGATATTTTCAACAAGTTTCCAATTTATTTTTCAAATAAAAAATGAAATAGCATTTTTTATTTAAAGAAAAAGAATTAAAAAGAGAAAATTTTTTGAACGAAATTAAACAAATCAAAATTATGATAAAAATTGGTTAAAAAGTTATTTTTAAATATCAAAATTAAAATCTTTTTTTGTCAATATTAAAGGATAAAACATAATTATTCTGTAACATTTTAAAAAAGTCATTGTGGGATGTTAATTTTTTTCACATATAATCGTATTTTCGAATCTAAATTATTTTGACAGACACAAAAATTATCTTTTTAATAAATTTTAATTAATTTTAAATTTTACTAAAAAGATAAGTTTTTTTAAATGATTAATCACATTTAACAAAAAAAATTTAGTGATAACACGTTGTTTTCAATTCATATAACGGTTCTCAAAAATAAAATAACTAATTAAATATGTAAAGAAAAAATAGAAATTAAAATAAAAATAAATAAAAACCAAAGAAACTGACGCACGGTAGGTTTATATATAGTAAGTCAAACTTACCCTGATTAATATATAGGATATATATAGATAGATATAATCGTAATTAAAGACTTTGAAGCATATGATAGTGAAGGGTTGCCTGGAGGCTTTTCATTTCTGTGCCTACGATCTGAACTTGAACTTTTAAAATATCTAACAAAATTGGATCATGAAGAGACATATTATAATTTGGGAAGACTGTGAAGAAGAAATGCTGCACTAAATCTCTTGGGCCATCTGCCTCATTTGTTCAATACATAATCTGTCTTCGTGGTGGATTTGTATTTGGTTAGATTCCTTGGCAGAATGGGCTCTTTGACAGTTGCAGATTTTAAGAAGAAAATCACGGCTCATTGTTATGTAATAAGTTGAATGAGCTACCAAACACCTTCGTCGCCATTTTTTACTCGACCAAGTCTTTCATTTTTACTCAAGTAAATTCTCCAAAATGCACGATTGTAAGAAGCTTAGCTAACTTGCTACATCGGCTCACCACAGACTTCTTTGAACTTGGTCGATTGTTTTGAACAATTCATTATTCTTGGAATTCAAACTAAACGTCACTTAATGTGATTTTTTTAGCACTTAATCATGTTCTGAACGTACTTTAAATTCATTGGATCTAAATATCGAACCAAATACAAGTTGATTAATAGTCCTTTCTCGGATAGGTAGTTGTTGGTCACGTCGATGATCTATATATTGGTATGTTGTGTCACGAATTATATCTCAAGTGATAACAAAAAATTAACCCAACTTCTATAGTTCCAAACTAAAGCTTTCTTCATGGCTCTTCAATCCTCCAAAATTTTGGTTGCTACCGCCAAAGTTTTAGATCAAAAAATTGTTAGGCGATCTGCTAATTACCATCCTACAATTTGGAAGGACGATTATATTCAGTCGCTCAAGAGTGATTACATGGTATGTAGAATGGTAATTACCAACATATATATATATATATATATATTTTGAGCATGACAGGTAGCTAACAGAGTTGCTTATCGTCGATAGGGAGAATCATATGGTGAACGAGCAGTGAAACTGGTGGGAGAAGTGAAAATGATGCTTGACAAAGTGATGGATCCTTTGGAGCAACTCGAGCTAGTCGATGCGTTGCAGAGACTCGGATTATCTCATCACTTTGAGAATGAAACCAAGAGGATTTTGGAGTATGTAACGGCTGACCATACCAATTTATATGCTACATCACTTGAATTTAGGCTCCTAAGGCAGCATGGGTATAAAGGAACTCCAGGTAAAAGTCCAAGTAGTAATTAATTTTGTGTAAATATAAAATAAAAAAATTGGAGAAATATTGATAATTACAGTTGAAAATTTTATTACATGCAGAGGTTTTCTCCCATTTCATGGACGAGATAGGGAACTTGAAGGCAGGTTATTGTGAGGATTGGAAAGGGCTGCTGAGCTTGTATGAAGCTTCATACCTTTTGTTTGAGGGTGAAAGCATATTGGAGAAGGCAAGAGATTGTGCAGCAAAACAACTCAAAGAATTTCTGAAGCAGAACAAGGATGTATATAGTGTGTCGATGCTAGTGGATCATGCTTTGGAACTTCCATTGCATTGGAGAGTACCAAGGTTGGAAACCAGATGGTTCATAGATGTGTACCAAAAAAGAGACAGAAATCAGAGTCTTCTGGACCTTGCTAAATTGGACTTCAATATGTTGCAAGCTGTTCACCAGGATGATCTAAGACATGCTTCCAAGTAAGTTCGTTCAAATTTAAATTATATATTTTTTTTATATTCGGCCAATAGGAAAAATCCTGAGCTACTCTAAAGATATTATAAATATATCAGCAGATTTCATGTCTTTTTTTAAGTACATGTAAGGCTAAACCCCCCCCCCCCCCAAAAAAAAAAAAAAGAAATAATAAACTTAAATAAAGTGAATATTTAAACATTCTATCATGGCTATGTCCTAATTCCAATATAATACTTACAAGTTTTACTTTTTATATGTTTAAATAACTTTTTTACAGAAAAAACCATGGAACATCAAAATTATAACATTTTTGAAAATTTAATATAAAACTGCTAAAATCATAGCATTTTTTAGTTTTGTTTCTTTTGTCTAGTAAAAAAAAAAAAAGAACATTCAATTTTAGACATAATTAAACAATAATGGAATACTGTTAAATGTCATTTACAACAGGAAAAAAAAGACATAAATAGGAGTTGATATATATCAAAAGCTATATAAAAACTCCCTTAATTAATTAATTATTTGATTGATTGATTAATCTATTCTATTTATAGTTTTGAATTAATTTTACAGAAAACGATTTTCTTAAACTTCTGTGCAGGTGGTGGAAAGATCTGTGTCTTGGGGAAAAGTTGACGTTTGCCAGAGACAGGTTAGTGGAGAGCTTTTTATGGGCTATGGGCGTGGCAACTGATCTTCACTTTGGTAATTGTAGAAGAATTCTCGCTAAGGTTGGTGCACTAATAACAATTATAGATGATATTTATGATGTGTATGGTACCATGGATGAATTACTGCTCTTCACCGAGGCTGTTGAGAGGTTCGTATGGTTCTTTAACTCTCTACTTTGTATAAAAGATGACCAGAGAGAATCAGTGATCTATTTTTTAATTTAAAAGCTAGGTTTCATAATATTTTTTAGTTACTTTATAACTCAAATCATTGAAAATTTAAGCTTAATTTAGTTCATCCCTTAAATTTATATTTAGCATTAAAATTTAAAACAATTGTCTTAATATTTTCAAAATATTTTTAATTAAAATTAAATTAAAATTTTTTACCGAATCTAAAAAAATCCTATTTATAGGACCCAGATTTGATTAGATCAAACCCATAGCTCAACCAGTGAACACCTCTACCCTTATTCCCAACAAAGCAAAGCCTTACGTAATTTTTTTTTTTCTGTATGAAATTTTAATCTTTATGATTCCAGATGGGACACAAATACAATGGAGTTGTTTCCTGAATATATGAAGCTATGTTTCCTTGCTCTTTTCAACTTCGTAAACGAAACAGCCTTCGCCATTCTCAAGGAGCAAGGATTCGATACCTTACCTCTCATGAAGAAAATGGTACTGAAACCCTTCTATTATATATATAGTTTTGAATTACTTTTATTTCATGATCTTTTCCTTCTAGATTTCGATTTTGTTATTGATCATGATTTCTATCATAAATGTACAGTGGGCAGACCAATGCAAAGCTAACTTATTGGAGGCGAAGTGGTATTATAATGGATATACACCAACTTTAGAAGAGTATCTTGAAAATGGACTGATTTCCATTGCCTTTCCTGTAATACTTTTTCATGCTTATTTGGCTACAAATTCAATAAGAAAGGAGTGCATGGAATGCTTCGAAGAGTGTTCCAACCTAATCAAGTTTTCATCTGTGATAGCACGTCTTGCGGATGATCTTGGAACATCATCGGTATGAAATATACAAGCATCATTGCTTGCTGTGAATTGAAATATATTTATGTAATGCTTTACCCTTTGGATTTTTTTGATTAGGATGAGTTGAAAAGAGGCGATGTTCCTAAATCAATCCAATGTTACATGCACGAAACTGGAGCTTCGGATGAAGAAGCCCGTCAGCACATACGGGCGTTGATTGATGCATGGTGGAAAAGGCTAAACGAAGAGCGATTTGCTCATTCTCCTTTTTCTCAGACGTTTATTCAATTTGCATTGAATGTGCCAAGGACGACTCAATGCATGTACCAGCATGGTGATGGCTATGGGATTGGAGATCGTGAGACTAAGGATCGTGTATTAGCATTAATCGCTTTTCCTATTCCATAGAACAAAATAATTGGAGGCTAGGTGATATAGCAATCCTTTTGTAGTAACTGTCATAACGTCTAGATCCGGGGATCTATCGCTAGACATTGACTTAAGGGAGTCGCTACCAATCTTTTTTTATCTAGTTGCGATTAGCCACCTAAAGAATCTGTCCCTTCAAGGAACACTTAAGTTTAAGGGTCCTTAAAAGAATAGGTTCGGGTCTACAAACCAGAACAGGGTTCGGGAGTTCGGTTACGTGTGAGGAAGGTTATAGCACCCTCACAACGCCCATCAAAAGATGGTACCAACTTAAATTTGTATTATCTAAAAAAGCCTTAAAATGTTACCAAGTAATTAATTATTGAAAATTATTCTCAATTGACTTTAATTCTTTTAGCAAAAAATTGAGAAAATTCTCTCACCTCAGGAGTATACAAGAAAAACTACTGTTTTACTTGCAGAGGTTCCGTCGTCGGATTAATTAAAAAAAAATGAAAATCAAAATCAAAATAGAAAGGAAGGAAAGGATGATTATTCTTGTGTAGGAAAAATTGATACTTTCAACTTTTCTCCAAAAATTATTTTTTTAAAATTTATTTTTCAGGAAAATTGATACTTTCAACTTTTCCCTAAAAATCCTTTTTTTGAAATTTATTTTTAAGGAAAATTGATACTTTCAACTTTTCCCCAAAAATATTTTTTTTTGAAAATTTATTTCTAAGGAAAATTGATACTTTCAATTTTTTCCCAAAAATATTTTTTTTTGAAACTTTGATTCCCAAGGAAAATTGATACTTTTAACTTTTCCTCAAAAATCTTTTTTTTTTGAAAATTTATTTTTAAGGAAAATTGATACTTTCAACTTTTCCCTATAAATATTTTTTTTGGAAATTTCGATTTTCAAGGAAAATTGATACTTTCAACTTTTCCCCAAAAATCTTTTTTTTGAAATTTTACTTTTAAGGAAAACTGATACTTTCAACTTTTCCCCAAAAATATTTTTTGGAAATTTATTTTTCTTTTAAGGAAAATTGATACTTTCAACTTTTCCTCAAATATCCTTTTTGAAATTTATTTTTAAGGAAAATTGATACTTTAAACTTTTTCCTAAAAATATTTTTTTTGGAATTTTTGATTTTTATTTAAAGAAAATAGAATAATAAAATAAAATAAAATAAAATAAAATAAAAAAGAAAGAAAAGTAAAAAAATAAAATAAAATAAAGATAAAAAAGAATATTAAATAAACCTAATCTAATAAATTAATTAATTAATTAAAAAAAAAAAAAACCTGGAGCGGTTCGGTTCGGCTCCCCTCAAGGCAGGGAAACGGCTCGAGGGGAGCGGCTTGGCAGCTTGGCTCAGCTTGGCTCGGCTCGGAGGGGGACTGGCACGCGCGGGTCAGGAAGCGGGTCGACGCTCGGGTGGGGTCGGGTTTCGACAAAACGCGCGGATCCTCTGATTAACTTAAAGCCAAAACGACGTCGTTTTGGGAGGGTATAAAAGACAGTTACCTTCGTTTTTCGGCAGAACCCTTCTCCTCTCTCTCTCTCTTCTTCCTTTTTCCTCTCCTTTCTCTCTAAAAACTGAAGAACACCGGTGGAATTTTCGCCGGATTCTGGAAAAAATCACCGAAATCTGGAAATTTTATCGAAAGTTGGTCGGAATATCACCGGTTTCTGGGATTCTTCACCGGAAACTGGGTTGGTCGTCGGAAACTTCAAGGTTGGCCGGAATTTTCGTCGGAAAATTCAACCATCGCCGGAAAAGTCACCGGAATCTGGAAATTTCCCAGAAATTTCCAGAAAATTTTTTTCGCCAAAAATTTCTAAAAATTTTTTCTCACTCCCAGAACCCTCCTAAACTTTTCTTAGCTTCCTATATGCTTCCTTTTCTCTCAAACCAGTAGCTTTGCTTATTGTTTTCTCTCTGTTTTTCATCTGTTCCAGGAGGTGCTTTTTATAGGGGTTGATCAAGAGTTCCTGATCAATCCTAATTCCTCCTTGGACGAAGATTCAATCTTTGAATCCAATTGGACTCTTCTGATTGAATTCCCCTCCACAGTGGGATTCTTTAACTTTTAATCTTAGCCCTCCAAAATAAAATCAAAATAAAAAAATACTAGATAATTAGAAAAGATAAATCAAAAAATATTATATATAAAAAAAATAAAAAATAATATCTGATAATTGGAAAAAAATCAGATAAAATTGACAGATAATTTAAAAAATACTAATAACAAATAAAATAAGATAAACCCAAAAATATATTACAAAAAAATAATAATAATATAATAATAAATATATAACTATATAAATAAAATACATATAAATCTAATCTAATAAATAAATAAATATATACATAATAATAATAATAAATAATAAAATATATAAAATACAAAAGAAAGAGAAAAAAAAATAATAATACAGGATAAAATTGGATTGAGCCTTACCCATTTGGGCTAGGCCCAATTGATCTGGGCCTGGACCTAATTGGGTGTCTACAGCTGCCCCTCTTTGCACATTTTCTGTGAAACAGAAATTGCGCAAAGACGTAGACACCCAATTAAGACTCAACTCAACATTGTCATTTTTTGTTTTTTTTTGTTGTTTTTTTTTTTTGCCAAAGCTCCTCTAAACAGAGGCTCAATGATTTTGAGAAACATAAATTGCTCCTCTAAACAGAGGCACCACGACTTTGAAAAGTAAATTGCTCCTTAACAATCATGTCCAAAGGAGTTTGAAGGTTGTGTTTGGAGGAATTTCAGGAGATTATGCCCAAAGGTCTTATAAATCAACCCCGATACCAAAAGACATCCTATTTTAAGGATTAGGAACTTACCTGACAAGTTTCTTCTCAAACTTGCAAAATATCTTCATATCTGTCTTCTTCATGTGAGATGTTGGAACACCCCTGCTTCTTGAATTTATACACTATACTTTCCTGAAAGTAGTGTATGCTATGCAAATGCATATGAATTTCAATGCATGCTATGCAAATGTTCGATCAATTAATTCCTGTTCAATGTATGGTACTCAAGTTTCTCAAGCTTTTTTCTTAGGCATCAAGCCCTTCTATTCTTCAGAGATCCAATTACACTGTTCTTCTAAGATTGAACCAGTGTAGCTCTCAATTGTCTCTTCCACTCAAAAAATCCCTTCCCAGATTCAATGTCCTAATCAGGAGCTGAACATCTCAATTCTGCCTTTTTCACTTTTGACTTATTCAATGTAATGTAAAGATCTTTTTATGTTGTTATTCATTCATCAATCATTATTTCAAACTCAAAAAGTAAGAATGCATTTGCATATTTCTCTCATGGTGGGTTGCTAAGAAGAAAAGAATATGAATGGTTGGGAAACAAGCATCGAAAAAAGGCACAAAGAATGAGATAAAATATTTTTTATTAGCAAAATGTTGGCAAACTTTGGCCAAGAGAGAACTATAATGATAGGTATGGGAATAAAGCCCAAAATGATCAATCAGATAATCACGATAACACCTCTCAAAGTCTTTTTTGAAAACCCAACCCTCTGATGTATTTAACAACTTGGAACTCTTCCGAATTTGTTAGCTTCCATATCAGCGAACTTTTAAATTTGATGCTGTGTTCTCCTTATCTAAGCCGCCTTTTCAGGTTTTCAACTTAGACAAATCCCCTATGACTCAAACCGTCCTTTTGGGATTTTCGTCTTGAGTCTTCCTTTTTCACTTTTTCTTTTTTCATTTTTTTTATTTTTTTCAAGCATAGTATTTCTTCACAGCATCAGAATTTATAGGATGGGGTAAATCATTTCCATCAATTTCAGTTAGTATCAGTGCTCCACCCGAAAAAGCCCATTTCACCACATACGGCCCTTCCCAATTCGGAGTCCATTTTCTTCTACTATCGTGTTGGATTGGGAGAATTCTTTTCAAGACCAACTCTCCTTCCCGAAAACAACGGGGTCGAATCTTCTTATCATGAGCCCTCATTATTCTCTTTTGATATAGCTGACCATGGTACAGTGCAGTCATTCTCTTCTCTTTTATGAAATTTAACTGCTCATAACGTTCTCGAATCCATTCAGTTTCTTCCAACTCAACTTCTTTTAATACTCTCAAAGAGGGAATCTCTACTTCCACTGGTAGTACAGCCTCCATCCCATAAACCAACGAAAATGGGGTTGCCCTAGTAGAGGTGCGAACTGACGTTCGATATGCATGCAATGCGAATGACAACTTCTCATGCCAATCTTTGTAAGTCTCGGTCGTTTTCTCTAAAATCCTATTTATGTTCTTATTGGCTGCCTCAACTGCCCCATTCATTTTCGGACGGTATGGTACCGAGTTATGATGCTTGATCTTGTATTGAGCATATATTTCTTGCATAATCTTACTATTTAAATTCTTGGCATTGTCTGAAATTATTCTCTCCGAAAGTCCATATCTACAGATGATCTCTTTCTTTATGAACTTACAAACCACGGAGCGTGTCACATTTGCATACGATGCTGCCTCTACCCATTTTGTGAAGTAATCTATCATCGCAAAAATGAATCTGTGCCTGTTAGAAGCCTTTGGGCTGATTGGACCAATGACATCCATGCCTCACATTGAAAATGGCCATGGTGGTGCCATAACATGTAAAGCAGATGGTGGAGCACGAATCCTATCAGCATATATCTGGCATTTATGACATTTACGAGCATAATCAATGCAATCGTTCTCCATAGTCAACCAGTAATATCCCGCTCTCATAATCTGTCTTACCATCATATGTCCACTAGTATGTGTCCCACATATTCCATCATGCACCTCTTCAATGATTTTTTTTGCTTCAGTCTCATTTACACACCTCAATAGTACTTGATCCTTGCTTCTTTTGTAAAGAATATCCCCATCCAGGAAAAAGCTCATAGCCAATCTTTGGATGATCCTTTTATCATTTTCTGTTGCATGAACTAGATACTGCTGCTCCTCGACATACTATAAGATGTCATAATACCATGATTTTCCATCTTCTTCCCTCTCTACATTAGAATAATACGCTTGTATATCTTTAACATCTAACTTGATAGGTTGAATGTCGATATTATCATTAATT